CTTTCCCCCCTCCTTTCCCCCCTCCTTTCCCCCTCCTTTCCCCCCGCCTTTCCCCCTCCTTTCCCCCTCCTTGCCCCCTCCTTGCCCCCTCCCTTCCCCTCCCATCCCTTCCTTTCCCTTCCTTTCCTCTCCAGTCCCGTTTTTTTCCCATCCAATGCCCTCCTCTCTCCTCCTGTAACCTCCGCTCCTCTCCCTTCCCTCTCCCTTCCTCCCCTCTCCCCTCTCATCACCCCCTACCGCCCCCTCCTGGTTTGACCTGCTCCCTTTCAGACTGTTCCCAGGTACAATTCTGCTTCCCTTTGTCTGACACTAGGTATCAGTGCTGGATCCTGATGAGAGCTCCAATGGGATGGTCACATACTCTATGCAAGTGGGCATGCCCAGGTTGGATTTTGTGTTGAACTCCAGCACAGGATTAATCACGTCTACCACGGCGCTGGACCGAGAGCGGATATCCGAGTATTATCTGAGGTTGATAGCCAGAGATGCAGGGCTGGTACCTAGAAGCTCCACCAGCACCCTAACTGTAAGGGGTAAGCAACCACCATTTTGAAAAGTTCTGGACCAATAGCACTGGTGGGAGAACAGTATTTTACAACCCTGATTAGACTTCTAAATTTCAGGAAGTGCCTTAAAGAATTAAATCAGTTTATCTGCGCCTAACACAGAAATTGCTGGAGAAACTCAGCAGGTCTCACGCATCTGTGGAGAGAGAAACAGAGTTAACATTTTGAGTCCAGGACGAATCTGCATCAGAGCTGAGCTTGAGTTTCTCCAGCACCTTCTGTTTGCACTCGGGCTACACTCCTTACCACTCATTCACAGAAGTTTCACCTCCTGGGAGTGTGGGGCAGAAAGCCGAGGAAAATACTTGAAAAAGCAAATGATTACTCGTCCATTGCTGATGTTGTATAGCGGGAGGAGCTCAGAGCTAAATGTTGAGGGCTCACCTGAATCTCACTGAAAATATTTTTTGGTTGTAACTAAACATAAGAATATAAGAAATAAGAGCAGGAATAGGCCGTCTGGCCCATCGATCCTGCTTCGCCATTCAATAATCTTTTCGTGGACTCAGCTCGATTTACCTGCCTGCTCACATAACCCTTAATTCCTTTCTGGTTCAAAATCTATCCATGTCTGCCTTAAAAGCATTACATGAGACAGCCCCAACTGCTTCACTGGGTCAGGAATTCCAGAGATTCACAACTCTCTGCACTCATCAGGACAAATGCAAGAATGCCAAATTTTAAACACACAATAATTTCTACCTAAGGACAGGAGGGTATTGATCGGTTAGCAAATTGATTCTGATTAGCCAAGGCTTTGAAGATATTTTTATTTCACTTGTTCAGACACATTAAGATGCACCTCTGGATTTGAACCCAGACCTTCTGGCATTGGAATACTAATGCTGCACCACAAAAGCCATCAGCATATACATTTATAATTATTTTAATCAACCTGTCCAGACATGTTATGACACACTTCTGAAGTTGGTGGGACTTGAACCTGGGCCTTCTGGCTCAGGGGCAGGGAAATCGCCACTGTACCACAACAGCCCCTTGGTTGAGACTTTATATTCTTGACTTTGTCCGGAATAGTGCAACTTGTCTCTCTGAGCAAGGTTGGAGGGATTCATTCTTCTGGTTTCATTGAAGCCCATTTCCTTAAAAATTCATTCCCATGATGTGGGCCCTGCTGGCTGGGATTATCCGTCCCTAATTGTCCAAATGGGCAGTTCAGGTTCAACCACCTTGCTGTGACACATGTAGGCCATAGCAGGTAAGGACGGCAGCTTCCTTCCCTAGTGTACCAAATGGCTGTCCCCCAGTCCCCAACAGTTTCATGATCAGCATTGGATTCTTAATTCCAGATTTTTGTCAGAATCATAGAATCCAATACAGTGGCATTTGGCCCATTGAGT